ACAGCTCAATTCTACAATAGTTCAATTATTACAAGCTCGTTCAGTGAAATTCAAGTAGCTCCAAAATCCTAAAAAAGAACAATTATGCTAGCTTAAATTGAACCAAGAATCAAAATGCAATTAACAGATCTGGAAATTGGACCCACGAAATTTAGAAAAAGAAAAGACTCCATACCCCTTTTTATGATCAAGAACTTCATACCCCCATAATTAACTTTCTGCAAAAACTCTTCTTTTTTTTTTCAGAACAAGAAAACCACCAATTCAAACCCCATTTAGTTTCCAGACTATGAAATTAAAATTTTCAAAAATAGGGAGCATCAAAGATAGTAGTACTACTAAAGAAGAGTAAAGCGATGTACCGCAAAAGGGTTCACTTCATCTTCAGCAAACGGATTATCATTGTAACGGCCAGCCATTAGAGCAACTTCGAACGAAGCAATGTTCACAGTCACAGATCTGGAATCTTGCGGAAAGTGAGGTTTAGATTTGGTATATATGTATTTATCAAGCAAGATGCGCGTTTACGAAATAGACGTGGTATCCTACTATATTTCTTACTTCTCTTTCACAGTCCTTTTTTTTTTTTTTCTGATTTTCTGCTTAAATGTTACAACTCTTTTTGAGAAATTGCACGTTAAAAAGTTATTCATTCACGGGATGGCAGCAGTGACAAATCAGAGCCGTTATATAGGTTCTGAATGTCACAATGACACGTGGGATAGGCTCATTGGTTAGTTGAAACAGTACAGTCGGGGGTCACTATATAATCAAGCTTTTACTTGAAGTGACTAGTGAGTGTCACTGTATTCATCAATATATTCTTTACAGGTTTTTATTTATTACTATTAGACTGAATTTGTTGCAGGGTAATTTATTACTACTTTTCTTAAATCTATGATTATTTTAATTGGTAAAATAGTACTAAGTGAAATAGTTTTAAAGGGTAGTTTAGACAAATACTGTTGTATCCTTTTCTAAAGAGTGTACAAAAACCCTAACAATACTATAGATTATTATATGGACAAAAAGAATTCAACTAAAAATATATATCTGAGACCAAGACAATGAATGTCTCACCACCGGATCCCGTTGTCTAATTTTAAGGTAAAGAATTAAATACTACTCCACATGCTTTTAATTATAAATCCGGCCACTAATTGGTAATCTCATATACTCTATGTAGTTTAACCTGCTATTAAAAAGTACTCCTATAAGAATTAACATAATGTTTGGAGAAATTCTAAATTGAAACAACCTTAAAGTGAATATCCATTGACCATATCCATCATTGCACAATTGAATAACTGTGAAGAAAGTGTTACAGCAAGTCCATGTTGAAAGAGTGAAGAATAATATTCTTGTACAAACAAATGAAAATGTACAGCAGAACAAATAAAGATTTACAACTTCAGACATACCAATTAACAACCATAATAAATAAGCTCTTAAACAATGGGGTTAGTGCATTTTATGCATTGTGGCTTCTATTTAGCCTAAATGAACATTAGAATGATTGCAAAAAATTGTACTAAGAATCACGATAATCGAGCCGTGCTGGTTTGAAATCACACTGTTTGTTCTAGCCTGCCTTGTGTCTCAGAGGTATGAAGTTCGGGTAGCAGGGCACTGCATCTACAACAGCCTCAAAATCTTGGATCCAAGTATCTCAGCTCGAGTTAAATCCCTCACGAAGTAAAAAATCTTGAAGTTTTGGTTACTCCACGGCTGAATCTGCTATAGAATGCATGTCTAGTTCAAGTCATTCTTCGTCGGATCTACTAGGAGATTCTCTTCTAATCATTTGTATGAGGTCTTGAACAACTTCTGACATTGGTGGCCGGAACTCTTGGTCGGGCTGCAACAAAATATCAAAGATAGTTAAAGCAATATGTGAAGGCAAAGCCTATACAACAGCTAAATCTTAGTCATCCTTGGAAGGCAAAGGTAATATATACATCTATTGCATCTACAAGCTTTAATTTGGTGAATGTGGTGTCGTCAGTAAATCGTTAGTTGATTCGGACTTTTCAAGTGTTGTTTGCTTCTACTACAACAAACCCACACTCTTCACTGGGTCACGAAGAGATTATGAGACACCTGGGCAGAAAACGATCTCGAAACATCAATCTTTTTAGAAAGATGGAAAGTTTCCGCTTTTTGTCCTTGCAACTTTAACTATGCCTAAAACCTGGTACACTCATACTACAGATTCAAAGAAGTCCTTAAACTGGTAGACACTTCAAATTCTACTGATTAATAGAGACAAAAGCGAACTGCGTAAATCTACAACTCCCATTTTGACGCAGTACAGTTCCTTTTTTTCCAGTGATAAGAAATTAATGATTTTACATGTTACAATTTTCTTTGTTTGTACCCAAAGTTTGATCAAGGAATGAAATAGTTGAGATTAGGATAAATTACTTGCTTGTAAAAAAAAAATTATGCGTAAATACTTGTATAAATATTGAGAGAAAGGACAGCCTGGCTATGTGACCCATTCAGAGATCAACTGATGCACAGAAGTAAGCGGACTAGTTTTAGTGGTCAGAGAAAGAACAAAAAGAACTCACCTGAACACAGCGGGATATTATGTCAGCAAAATGTGATAATGACTTAAGTGGGTACTTTCCTTTGAGCGAAGGATCAACCATCCTCGTCAAGGCATCAATATCATGTAGCTGAGGGATTGCCCATCTGACCAAGAATTGCTCTCCTCGACTTCGAGTTCTGAATATGGTACATATGTAATGAATAGCTGGGAGAAAAAGATGTAACAAAATTTACTCATTGGGGCGCAAATGGCTTTACCGGTCATATGACATTCTGCCTGTTAAGAGTTCCAGCATCACCACGCCAAAACTGTAAACATCACTCTTAGAAGTGTAAATCCCTGACTCAAATTCTGGGGCACCATAGCCGTAGGTCGTAAGAAGTTGTCCTGACAACTGAAAATAAGTACAACATCACTTATACTATTTTCGAATTCTTTAAGGACGTAATGCATAAGAAATATAAGAAAAGGTAAGTTTCCAGAATCAACTATTTCTAAACAATGACTTCATCCATTTACATCAGTCATAGTTCTTACTGCTCTACTCCAATGTCTTATTTAGAAGCACTTTGATCATCACTACACTCCTTTCTTAACTGTATATTCAGCTCATATCTTCACTTCCAGCATAAACCTGGTATTTGATTTCCCCAAGGCAAATGTTCCACTTTGTTCCACACTTGTAATACAGAATTAACATTAGGATGGGAAAGTTACCTGACTCACAGCACCTGATGATATCAGTGAAGCTAAACCACAATCAGAGACATGCACAGCCAACTCATCATCAAGGAGAAGATTGACAGACTTGAAGTTTCTGTGAATAATAGGCGGCTCGCAGACCTCATGGAGATACCTTCATTGCACGAAGAGAACAAATAGTTAATACATCAGATTCAACATTTGCTCTAACTCACTTGTCATGCAAATCTAAGATCATACAACCTAGCAATCCCACTCCTAATACTCCATAGGGGGGTGATGGTTTTTTCTTTCCATTATCGTGTTCAACCTCCCTTAGTCCCTCACATGAACACATGCAGAGGAAAGAAATAGTAGTATAAAGCGAAACACAGCAATTATAACTACTGTCTCCAACCATTAAGGCAAGAAATTTCAGGACCATAATAATTAGGTCATGATTTGACCTTTTTGCAATGTTCTACTGGCTAAGTTATGATTTACTGCTGTTTGCAGAAACTTCTTATAGATCACTGCCAAAAGCATCTTCACCATCAGATTTTTTCATCGTTCATACATATATACTGTATACAATTTGACTTACTCCAAGGCTCTTGCAGCTCCAAGAGCCATCCTGATGCGGGTATCCCATGAAAGTAGTTTCTTGAATNTATATATATATATATATATATATATATATATATATATATATACACACACACTCGCATACTTGCATGTGTAGATGTGTGTGTGTGTATACATACATATGTGCAGGTGTCAATAACAGTTTGACTTACTCCAAGGCTCTTGCAGCTCCAAGAGCCATCCTGATCCGTGTATCCCATGAAAGTAGTTTCTTGAACTCATCATCAGAGTGCAGTGCATCTTGTAGTGTTCCACTACCGCAATACTCATAAACCAGAAGCCTTTGACCATGCTCCGCACAATAGCCCATCAACTCGACAACGTTAGCATGACGAATTCCGTCAATCAAGTTTACTAGGTCAAGAAACTCATCATCCTTCTGTTGATTGGAAACTCTTCTGTCCAGCTTCTTGACTGCAAGTAACTGTGTAAGCATTCAGATGGTTAAGAGTCAGATGTAAGATATTGCAACCACCAAATGATTCAATTTAATGTCAGCAATGGGATGGATAGTGAGATTTTGCGTGCCAGAGAAATTCATGTACGTTACAAATAACTTATGTAGAAAATCAACACAACTGTTGTATATTCTGATTATAAGATAGTTTCTTGGTAGAAAAAGATGCATCAGTATTTGACAGATCCTGTAATACAGCAAAGGACAAAACTAGGGATACCAACTCAGATGACAAGCTTATACAGGTAGAATGTTGATTTTCACTCAGATGAAAAGGAATAGGACTAAAAAGAACCACGAAACGTCCTAAAGAAAATTTATGTAACAAGAAAAACCTGATGCAGCAATTGTAGCCATTTCACTTTCACCGGAATTTGTAAAATACTATTTACCCTTATAGATATCAGACTCTGGATTTCCACCAGCAAACCATTTTTGCACATAATTTGATCAATCTGACATTAATTCTAACTCAATTAAGCACTTATATACAAGAGCAGTCCACGTGATGCAACTACAGATAAAGAAGCTTCTTTAATGCTAGCAGAAAACAAGTCAGAAAGACCCCCCAAAAAAGCAAGTTGAGAAGAGAAAAACTATCTAGGTTCTGGATAATCTAGCAGGGATAGGATAACACAGTTAATAATTTCGAGTATCTAATTAAATTGATTTCAACCATAGCTTATACCTTTCCATTTGGAAGCTCTGCCCTGTAAACAGTTCCCAGCATTCCTGATCCTATCAGATTATCTTGAGAAAAGCTGTTGGTGTATTGCTGAAGAGATGCAATTGTGTAAGATCTCACAGA